CCTAGAAGGCATAAGAACCTGAAGTTAATTTCATTGATGAGAGTTTGGTAAATGCTAGATGAAAGACAGGTCTTCAAGAACATGGGTAAATTCAGCCCAGCAGCCAGAGGTAATGAGCAGGAGCTGCTGTGTCCCATCAGGACATGATCCTCCACAGTGATGACATGCATCCTCAGAGCATCATGGAGAATTGGCCTCCGTCCCCTCAGCTTCACGCCCTCCTCTGCCAGCCTCACACTTCTCACAGTCATGCTGATTTTTTTTCCAGTTCACCCAATTTTCATCTCTGGAGCCAGGGTAACAGCATTTCCTGAGAGAGATGAGGATTGAAAGTCTTTTATTTTCTGAGTTCTTGATTTTTCTTCTTGGACACCCTCAACTCAGCTTGGTCTGAATATTTTCATCATTTTCTGCCGAAAATTTTCTTTGGTCTGGACTCACAATGATATTTTATCAAATGTTGCATTTCTCTTTGCCCTCAATCTTGCCTACACTGTCACTTATATCTGGGAACTAGATACCAGAGAATATACTAAGATTTCTCAGTTTCTTTCTTCATCAATCTTTTTAACAACAAAAGTATGCCATGGACCAACATAGGGTTGAGAACACATCTTTGAAACTGTTATGTGGAATGCAAGATCCCAAAAAGTATCGGGAGAGATGGTGACAAAAAAAAGGATATTTGAAAACCTTTTATTTCACTCCAATTCAGCAAATTTTTTTTTCAAGTATCTAAGAGATGGGTGATGTAGAGTAGGTACTGGTGTTCTATCAGCAGTACATAGCCGCACTATGTATCTGGAGTACATAGAAAACCAGGACAGAAAACCTGCCCATCTTTACTCTCCTTTGAGATCATTACAGGTTCTAACACTTTTGGAAGTGAGGATCCTATTTAACTTCACTTAAACTGTTTATTACCAAACCTATTTGAATATGGAAAATGTCCCACCCTTCATTCCTTGGGAACAATGCCTAAGAAATACCCCAATGTTCTATATGACTTATTCACTATCTTCAGGATCTTGTACACCACAGGGAAAGAAAATATGTGTACACATAGATAGCAAGAATTAAAATACACTGAGTCCATTTGGAAGAATGAAAAAAGTATCAAATTAAATAAAATCCATTAGTCTACAGACTTCCCCAAATATGGCCATTCATTTTTCCTGATTGTCCCTCTTCAAAACCCTCCTGCCTTCCACATTAGCGCTGTTAATATAATGGAATCCTCTCTCCAGAAGGAAAATAAGGGATCCTAAATTTGTGCATGCAAATTTAAAAATTAAATTTAAAAATTTAAATGTAAATTTAATTTAAAAATTAAAACAATATGCGTGCAAATTTAAAGCTAGATATTTATTTATCAGAGGACATGAAGTCACTGAAATGATTGTTTTCCTTGCAGCAAAAAGCTGAGCTTCTCAGAGGAACCACAGTTCTTACGAAGGAGCTTCTGGTTCCATTAGAACTTCCCCTTCCCCTAAGGATTGAGTTCCAGGCTAGGAAAAAAGGAGCAAAGTTTTCTGCATACATTGCCTCCTTGGAATACATCTAGTACCTTTTTAAAGTTACATGAGAGGTAGGTAAACTTGTAGGTTGTCCCAGAAGCTGTGCAACAATTCCTTTGTGTATGAGAACATACACTTTGAACTTCAAAAACATTTTATGTTTTTATGAAGACTTATTCAAACATAACTGATCTATAAATGAGCATTTTCATCTATATTTGTATAATAATAATATATTTATAAGATAGCAGGAAAAACAATCCCGAAGAGGAAAACTTTGAAGTTTTAGATAAAATGATACAGGATATGTGATCAAAGGTGGAACAACCAGAATGGCTGCCTTTCTGGGAAGGCTTCTTTCTAGGAAATCTTTGTGGGGTAGGGATGTCACAATGTCTCTGCTTAACTCATTTTTGAATTCACATACATGAAAATCCTCAAGGACCTGAATATTGCAATGCAGACTGTTAACAATTCATACTGCTCTATATATTATTCAAAGGTATATCCTCTAGTCTGCAAGACCGCAGAAAGTAAAACCACAAAAATCATCTAATTATTACCAATTTTCTTTCATAGAACCTTAGAGAAAACTTTCTATGAATACATCCTTCTAAAAACAGAATAATAAAACTTAATGACTGTGTAATCGCCATGATAAATGGGGTTTCATAGAGATTATAGAATGTATTGCTAAGAATAAGGATCATCTGTACCTCCTCTTTCTCTAGAATGCTGACAGCCAATTTGGCCATGACAGGGGATTGACTTTTATTCTTTTCCCATTTAAGAGTTTCTTTTGTATTCCTAAAATTATTACTTGAATAAAATATCCTTATCTCTACTCAGAGTCTAGACACCAAAAGGTTTTATTAAGTGTACTTCTTTTAAAATCTGAGGTGATATTAGGCAAATGATTAACATGGCTTATCCAGAAAAGGCAATGTGATGATACATTTTATGTATTGTTTGTTTATGTCTATAAAAGTTGGGAGTAGATTCAAAGTTTATTCATATAGGATCAAGTAGCTACAGATTTGACAGTCCTCCTGCTGCTCTTATGATGTGATGTCGTACATTGCATGGACTATATTGCCTACTGGTTTTTGCTGAAGAACAAACACTCTAAATGACAACTTTTTACCCTAGTTTTTTGGGAACCATTTCCCCCAGGTACTTAAGGCTCCTCTTGGGGGGGTTGGTAATGTGACTGCCACAGCACCTGAACAGTGCATCAGCAGATATTGAACCCTTCTTCTGCTTATGGCCCCATTGTTCGCTCTGCAACCTTGTGACTTTTTATGTCTAGGTACAATGAATTCAACCTGTCATCTACTTTTTCCAATTGTTCTATTTAGAGGAATTATATATGATTGCAAAATAGACTTCAAAGCTTGTAAATGTTCTTGAGTTCTAGCCTTTTTCCCATGGTTCTTATTGTTTTTCAATGACTTGGTGCCACATTGATAGGAACCTCTGAGAAAATGAAAAGTTCAAAAATTGAGTATGTGTGAGTGGTAATAAATATTATCAAATAATACAGTAAAAAGAAAGTCAAACTGACACTGAAAGTAACTGTGTTTTCTAAAAGTTAGAAGACTCAAGTTTGAGAAGACTGTAAGTTCTACCACATATATGGGATAAATATTCTTTTGAATATTTTCTCATTTGGAGGGTGATTAAATTATACTGAACAGTCTCTAAAATTTGTTTCACTTCTGAATTTAGTTTTCAAGCCATTAAAGAGGTTAAGTAACATCACATCAGGAGCTCCTGTTTGTTGTTATATTTGACTATATCAGATCTTGTCCATCACAGGGCATACTTGCACAAGAAGTTCTCCAGTTTTTCAGATTCTCTTTTTAATCAAATAGGGCTCACATGGTTAACTTCCATACATAACAAAATCCTGGCCTCTCAAGTTCCACTGGGTTTACTGGATAAATTTATTACTTATGCCCAAAGTAAGAGAGTGGGTTTTATATTTTAAAAAAGGCTTTATTGTAAATCAACCAATATTTATTAAAAGTTCATTTGGCAAAAGCATTGCAGAAATTTCTGTGAATCAAATATTAAAAAGAAATATCTTTTGCTCCCAAATCATTTTGGTTACCAATATATACAAATTAAATGATGAACTAATAGATGTGTAAAAATCTTTACTATAGCTGCAATTTATAGAAATGGAGCAACAGAATTAGATGACCTGAGCCCTCTCAAGCCACTTGACTTTTAACAAAGCAGGCATCTTCTCCCTCAGCCTCTGTTATATCATATGAAAAGTTGATACAATACCTGCTTGACTATCATAGATTTATAAAGTTCTTACTCTGTACCAAGAACTTCATTAGGTTTTAGTGGTAAAAGATAAGACCAGCCATCTAGCCCATTAAGAAGTTCCAGTTATCTGTAGGAAAATATTCATGCAAACAAATACTTGATACAGTGTGATGGGCATAATTGTTGATCACAAGATGCTAAAAAAAAAAGCAGACTTGTTTTCTCCTCCATAATTGTAAATATTTCCTCATTTCCTGATAAGATGCAATATAAAGTATAAAGCACACATTTGAAATTTTCTTGACAAATGAATTTAACCAATGTGTTCAAGGCCTTTCATCTAAATTTCAGCTTGCAGGAAATAAAGGAGATAGAAGAACAAGTTAATTGACACCACAGGAAAGCATTCAGTCAAGTCCAGAAGGAGAGGTATTCAAAAGGACTACTAGTTTGGTCTCTTCAGCAAGCAAATGTCATTTTAAAATGTTAAAGGAATTAGTATTCTTTTATATTAAAAAAGTCTTAAAAGACATAGTCTTTGATTATGTTCAGTTTGTACAAACCATCTATAAAAATAATGAGGAACATAAAGCAAATTTGTAGACTTGGTACTAGAAGATATTGGAAAATTACTAATTTTTAGGAGTGATAATGATGTACTGGTTATGTTGGACATATCCTAATTAATACTGATTTGGTAAAAAGTCATGATACCTTATTTCACATTATAATGCAGCAGTAAAAAAGAATGAACTAAATATAACAAAATATAATGATGGGATGAACATATGGTGCTAATATTCTCATTTTCTGTGTCTGAAACTTTTCACAATAAAGATTTAAAACAAAGTAAATAATGCAATATATTTAAAATCACTTTGTAAAAAAGCACTGGGGAAGGGAAGAATAGTCCTTTTTCAAGCAAATGTACTACTTTGGGCTCTATTGCTAAGGGCAACCAAGCCTGACCACCAAAGATGGGTCACCAAGTAGTTCTAAAAATAAGAACCGGGAGCAACATTACCATTCCAAGATTCTGATCCTTTTAATACCTCTTCTCATGTGAAGATGACCTCAACCAAAATGGGAGACAAATATAAAAACTGTAAAAGTCAAGTTAGAACAAAGGTTTACGCAAGGAAAATGAAAAAAATCTGTAACCATTAAAATGTGAGAGTAACCAAATGGCTCTGTTTTTTGCAGAACAGTAGGATTCGTCCCCCAAAACCGAGCTCTGAAGCCATGGATGATTGCCCTTCTTGTTGTCTTATCACTGACCGTGGTGGGGGTGACCATTGGTCTTCTGACTCTCTTCTCAGTCTCTGGTAGGTAAAATTAGGAATTTCACTCAGCTTGATTTTATATTGCCACAAATCTTCATTTTCATATATGTAGAAGAAAATGTTCTCTGACTTGTGACTGTCCCTGTTCAGAATATTTTGTCCTATATCCTACAAAATTTCTGTCACAACAAATAATTTTCTGAGTGCTCAGGATATTGCATTAAGCAAAGTAGAAAATTTCCTGTCTCTGTAGGCCTCCAAATATAGTATTCCTTTAAGAATCTATATGAAATATTGAAAATAGTCATTGTACAAAATTCACTAGCAGAATTTCTAGTAAAAAACTCTTACCATTTATTATACACTGAAATAAAAAACTGAAAAATTATTAAAATTGGCTCTAAAAGACCATTTGCCAAGCAGCATTTCTAGGCCAAAAGAAAAGCACATGTCTAATAAACTTCAAAATGATGGATACACAATAAATACAACACAATATTATCATTTGTTTTTAGAAAAAAATACTTTACTCTTTCCAGAACAATATTCGATATTATATTTTATTTTCTAATATAATATATATATAATTACAAATAATGGATTTTGAAATTCTCCCTTTTTATAATTCATGTGTTTTTTCAGGGCACAAATGACTTACATTTTTTGACAAATCCTCACAGTGTCATTCTCACGTAGATGTATGCGTTAAAATGACTAGCTCAGGCTGCCTACTGAAATCTTACCTGTTGCCACCCTCTACAGACTTCAAAGTGAGTGACACCTGTTTTAGGAGATGAACAGGATTTAATACCATATTTCTGGACTCCATAACACAGTTGTAGTTTATACCAATGGCAAAAGATCTCAAATCAGTTCATTTGGTTGCAAAAAAAAGTTCCCTTTACTATGAGAGCAAAGTTTGATGAAGGGAAAGATTTATTTGGACAAATAAAGCATTATGGGGTCCAGAGATGTTTAGTTTAGAAGATTCTTGTCTTGTGAACCCTATTGCTTTGCTGGATACACAATCAAAAAAGCCATGTAGTCCAATCAAGCTGCCCAAGGACCCAAGTTGCTTCATGGTGGCTCCCCTCTTTACTGCTAACTCACTGTAGAGTCTTGTTCTCCTGGGCATTACTCCTAAGATTACCAGATCCCTTGGACACCTGAACTGCTCTTTTTCAGCCTTTCCTAATAGCCATGTGGAGACCTGACAGACTTATGCCTGTTATACCCCATTCCCTCCTGCTACCTCAGAGAACTTTTTCCGTAGGCTTCTGCTCATGTATCTTTCAGCTGTGCCTGAGTCTCTCATTACAAACCAATATTTATGAAGATGTTCATCTGCTTTTGCTTTTAGTTGGTCTTTAGATTTCAACTCAGCAAAGAGTAATGTAGTAATAAATCTCCAATATCCAGAGCCAGACTGTTGGGGCTCAAAACTTTACCCAGGGGCTTAAAGTTTTATAACACAAAGCAAGTTACTTAAAGCCACTCTGTCTCTCTTGCTTATCTGTATGAAAGAGATGATGCCAATCTTAGCTGGTTGAGAATCAAATGAATTAGAGAAGTGAAGTGCACAGAAATCCTGGGAACATGGTAGACAAACAATAGCTGTCAGTTACTGTTGTTAATATGAAAAAAATTATTTTCATTATTTTTAATGAAATTCAATTATAAAAAAAGTTCAGTATATATTTAATTAATATAAGCCCCATTATAGTTAGGTCTTAGCTCATGAAATGTTTGCCCAGATCTCTTAATGTGCTACTTCTTGTTTTCACCACAGGTGACAAAATGGAATATTATCATGGGACATTTACAGTCTCAGATCTCCACATCATCAGCAATTCTGGACAAAAGATCACCTGCCAAATTAAGGACCTACAGGAGATGAGTGAAAATTTGGTAAGTCAGACAAAAATTATTGTTGGCATAAAAATGCAAGTGAAGAAATTTTTGGATCATTTCCCTTAGTTCCAAATATGTGATTTTCAGACCACTCACATAAAAATCATCTTGCAGATTTCTAGGACCTCCCAGACCTGTGAAAGCAGTATCTGATGAGATGAATAGGTGAAGACAGGGGAATAAGAGAATCCATCTGTCTAAATAGTCAGTGGTTCTGATGAATCATTTTTTCTAACTCAACCATCTCATTTAAAGATGAGAGAACTGAGTCCAAGATACCCTAGGCCACTGCTTCCCTAAGACCAGCACAATAATTACATAGTAAATGGAATGCAGATACTTCAGGCATCAAAGTCGAGTTACATGATCATGCATTACCATCAGAGCATACACAAGACCTTTCACTGGTTGTCACTATGGATTTCTTTTCTGCTATCTGCATAACATAAGCCTATATAGCTGCCCCTACAGATAGCATTCTGGGTTTCATGACTATTCTTCTATTCTATTTATATTCATTCTTGCAAAAATAGTTTCTTATGTGCACATGCTTTAACTTATATCCTGCATATAAATCATTTTTGTTCCATGTTATTTTTAACTCAGAACTTCTTTGTAAAGATCTATCCATGTTGAAAAGTGTACTTCTACTTTGTTGCTATTAACTGGTACAGGATGAGTCATAGTTTATATCATCCACATTCTACCTGCATAAATGCCTAGCACTCCAAGAAATGTTATCCTAAACAGACTCCTACTCATTCCCTTATGGTCCCATGCAAGTACTTCCAGAAGCAAATTTCTGGATCACTGGGCATGCAGATACAGTGGACTTTTGACTTATGAACTCAATTCTTTTGTGAGGAGTCGTTGTAACTCAGGTTGGTCAATTGAAGGCTTGGGCTCCTCTACAGAGCCTACAAAATCCTCTCTCCCATATACAGGCAGATCTCAGTGTCCTTAGAGAGACACTGGCCCATGGCCCAGGATTTCTCAATTAACCTCAAGAGGAAAGGATATTGTAATGTTCCTTCTAGAACCCTTTAAGAGTTAACTCTGTATCTGAGTCCATCCATCTGGAAGCACATGCGGCCAGCATTTCGGTCATAATTCAAGACATCATTCATAAGTTAAAACTAAAATTCTAGTCATAACCCAAGCTGTCTATATGTCAGGCTGGTTATAACTTGAGGGTCCACTCTACTTAATTTGATTAATTGGTGCAGGATTGCTTTTCAGGATAGCTGAACCAACTATTCACTCCTTCTGCAATGCATAAGGATTCCCATGGCCCCACATCTTTGCTAACATTTGGTGCCTTAGGATGCACCAGCAGATCGGGTGTCTGGTGAGGGCCTGCTTCCTGGATCACAAAAGATCACCTTCCTATCTCATGGCCAGATTACATTCTCAAACCCCATTGGCTGTCATTGCCTTGGGGAATGGGGTCTCAAACTAGAAATCTGGGAATACATAGCATTCAATCTACAGCAGTTTATAGTCTTTGGCTTTGTTTTTTTTTTTCTCAGTATTATTTGCCAACTTAATATACTAAAATAGTATCTTACTCATGATTGAATTTGCATTTTTCTAATTATTAATGAGCTTGTGCACTATTATCTATATTTACTA